CTGGTTTGGAGTCCTCTTAGTTTGTATTAAAACCGCATTTCGTTGCTCTTAACCTTTTTTCATACATTATGGTATATGGACTGATACGTGATGAGTCATCCTTTTAATAGCAGATTATGCACTTGAATAATAAGAACAAGAAAAATCAATTTTACGGCTATACTCGAAAACCAACCACTTCCAGAAAAAACTGAGGATGACGAACAATTTCTAAGTAGAATCTTCATTTAACTTAAATTATTTATCCAATGAATTTCTTCAGAGGTGATGCATAACTCAAGACCTAAGCATCCAATCGTTTAAAGGATTCTCACAGTCGGAGCGTGCTTCCATACTAAGGAGCAGGCAAAATCTGACGTAAAATAATTAAGTTTAAAGACATTTATACAATCCTGCACATTTCGTCGATACCGACTGCGTAATATGGCGCCCTCTATCTTCTTGCAAGGAATCCAGGTTTCCTTTGGTGAAATCTTGTATTTATTAATACTGATTCGAAAAATAATAGTTTTATATTGCTACGGCCACTGGCCAGGTTTTTCTTCCAGTGACCAACCATAGTGAAGGAAAGTCCCTCGGAAAATAAAATCAAGAAAGTGACGCAGTACATTCCGTTAGTCCCCAACTCACTTATTATTCGATTGGACAAAAATGAAAAAGTAAAAAAAGATATTATCTAAACAGGACAGGAGAAAGTGTGCTAGTGGCTTTTGCTTCGAAGGTATCCGGGAGTGTCATTTTGTCTCAAATCTTAAATTGCCTTTAATCGCAGCGGAGCAGTTTTAACTCAGACATAGACTTAAATTTTTGGTGTTTTATCAAGAGTATGTGGAATAAATGACGACAGCAAAAGTTAATTTTTAATTTTTTCACTTTGCTCAAATTAAAATAAAACCGATTAACGTCAAGAAATAAATCATGTGATAATGAAATAGACTAAACTTTAATGCTACAGTCGCGAAATTATTGTGAACGACGTGTAGATTAAAGAACTGTCTCAAGGGCTTTTCGACTGAGTAGGAATATCCTCATAGCTGAGAACGGGAAATCCAGTAGCGATTTAATTTTTATTTCTTTTGAACTTAATATTTTCGATGAAGCGGCGTCCTAACTGCTTATTTATTCTGCGACTTCATGGTGCATATTCGGTGTGAGACCTATGCACTGAGTTTTTTGCATATGATGTGGAAACACCGCGGTTAACTATTTGCCATCGAAAGAATAGATGTATTTTACTTTTCATTTTAGATCTTGTCATAGGATACTATACCGTCACATTCGTTGACAACAATTGTTGATCATGGGAACACAAGATGTAATTTCTGGTGAACTGTGCGATTTGATAGAAAGAAATAAAGAATTAGCCAGTAATCTGACGTTTGATCTGGCGACGATTCTCTCAAAATATGAACTAAATACATTCTTCAATTATCAAACATGTTACGGCTATGTTTCGGATGCTCTTTTTTTCGGTTCGATGCCGATTATTGGACATTTGTCAGGGGGATCATATTATACACCGGGTGTGGGATCCAAAGAATGTCGATGTGGCTTATACTGTTTATTTGTTGGCAACAGTGGTAACAGTGAAATTGTTTAGTCAGTTTTGATGCTACTAAAATGGGTTTTCTAGTTCCACTAGTTTATTTATTTTGACAAGAGTGCTGACTTCTCTCGCATTTTGTTGCTTCTTTTTCTATTTGTTTACACAAATGTTGCTTTCTGATCGTCTGCTTTTTTTCCATTGCCCCAATGAGATATAGTTTCGGATTTGTCACAAACTTTAACTATTGAGTTATAGACCTGAGTTATTTTTCGATACTCTTTTGTTTTACTTTTCTCGTTACGTGTCAACGTCAAATACGTCGTCGTCGGACAAGACAGAATAAAGATGAAGAAAAGATAATAAATCAGATTATATACATGTGATAGTGCTGATGAAGAACAAGACTATGGCATACACATCTATCTATTTTATTACCTTTTCTTCGTTTTTATTCCATCTTGTCTGATGACAACGTGTTTGAAGTTGAATCGTAACTAGAAAAATAAAACAGAAAAGAGTGTCGGAAAATATCTCAAATCTACAGTTACCTTTCTTTCTCGACATCAGTGGTGAGTTATAGAAACTTCTCTGAAGATTTTGAAAAATAGGCAAGATCTAACTACAATCAAAATGACCATATCCGCAGTCATAAATATTTATGAAGATGCTCATTGTTATCAAAGTGCCATTGCTTTGCAGATTTCAGATAGATAACATACAACTGGAAGCATTCCTGTGTGATCATTTGCTTATGCAGATTCAATTAAGTTTTAAGAGACATTTGTTTTTACTGAAAACTAGCTTGTTTCTAAAGCCTAGTTTATGCTTGGGTGAGATGGAAGAGATACGATATTTTCGTTTGAAGTTGCAGCTGATAAAATTATTTTTTCCGTTCGATGAAAAATAGCCGCTTTTTTCCTGAGAGGATTAAAAGGTTGTTCTGTTGAACGTTTCGAGTACATCGTCTTTATTTTCTTTTATTCTCAGGTACAGGAAAGTCGATGCACTTGACTCTATTGAACAATAGTACAAAACGGGTAGAAGACATCTGTTCAGAATCGTATATTACCGAAGTAATCGTCAACAAAAAGAATGCAGAACAACGGTCGGTTTTGGAAGATGCAAATGTGTTGGCTGTGCGAAAAACATTGGCAACGGGTGATAAAATTTTGATCAATGGAGAAGCCGATTCATTCTTGGAAAAGATGGGTGTGTTTAATGGAAAAACATCGACGGCCGAAGGCGGAGGGTTGTTCTGCAAGGCATTTGATGGTATGACAGACTCTACACGACAGACCGGATCAACAAATCATACAGTCACAAATGCGAAATTGTCCATGCTGGCATGTACTACCGGATGTCGATTTTCTGAAAATTTACAAAAGTTTTTGCGCAAAACCGGATTCGAAGGCATGTTTAATCGAATATTGTATTATGTTTTGAAGAAAAGAAATGCCGTTCGACCACAAGATAAACGACCGGATATGAAAATGCATCATCAACCGTCATTGACTCATATCTTTCTGGGTGTGCATCATTTTGGAGATTGTGAGTACAAATTCCGACACAATCTCCATGACAAGGTTGAAGAAGAACCAATTCATGGTAAGATGTTTTTACTCTTTTCAAAAGGTATTGTCCAGCAAAACGGGATCAAATTGTATTGTTTTCTTTGTCTGAAACGAATGGTTATGACTTTTTTGAAAGTTGTGCCCTAAAACGCCCTCTGTAGAAAAGATTGTTTGTTAGCTTTTAATTTTTGAAGAAACTGATGTTCTTTAAAGTATCCTAAATCTGTTACTATCCTAAATCTGTAAACTGATGTTCTTTAAAGTATCCTAATCTGTTTAGACTGAAATCAGTGATTTTGAGTGCAAAAAGATGGCGGATAGAAGTGGTGCTTCCACTTTGTTGATAAGAGTAATAGGATATTTGAGACAGAAATGAGCTTTATGTGCCAGGTGATGCACTCATTTGATTTTTCTCGCGTGTACCGATTTTGCCGATTTGATCTTGTCGTATTTATTAAGGTACAACGAAACGAAAATCTGATGTTTTGGCAACATCTACCAGTTCGAACAAACCGTCGTCAAGTTCGCTGCTAAAGCCACTGACAACCAACGGGCCGTTCACATTGTCAACAATTACGAACAACGAAGAAGACGAGGATGATGCCGACCCAGAGAGTGCCTATTATTACGTGTTCAACAAATGTGCCGATCAGGTTGATGGCGCAAAGTGTAAAAGCACAGAACGCCACATTCAAGATATTTATGCCAAAGCATCCGATTTGTATCCACGATTGTGCGTAATTATGCAAATATTTCGAAATGGTTGTAAAGTTCTGGAATCAATGGGGGACCGAGTGTTCTTCGACGATGGTCACCATTCAAGCTGTGAAATTAGCCGAGAATTTTCAGATGCATTTAAAAACAAAATCAATCAAATGTTCTTGTGGCCAGCTTCAACTAATGCAAAAGGTGTGCCAGTTTTGTTCGTGGAAAAAGAGACATGTGTCATCACGTTCGCCTATTATGAATTCCTTGTCTCGCATTCGTGTCAATTATTTAGTCTCGATGGTGCTCAAGGTCAGCGGCTGAAAAAACAGATGAAACTGTCGTCGAGACAATTGTCACCTGAAGCTAAAGTGCTACTGATGCCGTACAATATCTTCGGCCGTTCCAGTCTTTCGCATGGCACAGCCGGCAATGGTGTTTTGTATCCCATGCAAAAGATCTGTATTGCAGCAGTTATGGGCAAATTGAAAACAGCAGGATTGGTCATCGATGGTCATTTTGTGTACACTTTAGACAAGAAACGTAAACTGATGTCGTATATCAAAATGAAAGCACCAACAATGGATCCAGAACGAGAGGAATTTGCGAAGAAACTCGAAAGTCACGGTGTCTCGTTGACGGAATACGAAGATTTATATCATCAATCGTCTATTCCAGGTGCAAATACGCTTTCGCCGGTCGCAGTAACATATATGACCACACATCGCGAGTATGTAAGCGAGTATCATAAGTACGAAAATCACGAACAAATGTCGTTAGCTTTGGGGGAGATGATCAATAGCGGTGATATCGCAAAACAGCTAGTCCTGGATCCTGTGACAAATGAATTAGTCAATATTTTCGTTATAATCAATGAAAGTGATCGACTCAACGGGGGATCAGCATCATCAAGCTCTAAAAGCTCACCAACCACGACGAATCAACAGACCACTGCAAATGGAGACACAGATGCTCAATTGCTAAAGTTTTTTCTTTCTAATGGACAAGATCGTGCCCCTATTGGTAAGCCATCTCGGTCGTTATAAGGATATCAGAGTACGCATTGTTCAACTGCGGCTAAGGTTATTGTTTGGGCTTTGTTCTCGTTTGAAACTTATATGGGACTTGTGTTTCTTATTTCGAAGCTGATGCACAAACCGACACAATTCAAAGTTTGATCGCGAAACAGAGTGAAATTCGCCTTAGAGGTAGTAGTATGAATTTTCAAGCAGCATATGTAGAGTTGTTTTATTCTTTAGTAACAACAAATGTGTGGAACGACGAAGAAAATGAATATTCACAGATTTTGGGAGAAAAAGGTAGTAAAATAACTGTATCTAATTATTTATATTCTGAGGATTCGACTTACAGAAAAGTTTTTCTTTTAATTTTAATCGAGCTTAGAAATGATTTTAGGAATCGAAGAGATATGATTTGTAATCGTTTCTTCTGTGACTTAAGCCATGATTTGTGTTTTAGCCAAGCAAACAAGCGGTGAGGAAGGGAAACATACAAAACGCCTTCCATTGGCTCCAATTGATCCTAATTCTGTTACAAATGTGTCAGGCGATTGTTTACGGCAAGAAAAAATGGTTGATGTCAGTGTTAGTGAACCTGAAGATAATGACGTCCGAATTGAAGAACCACATCCACTTGCCAACATGAAGGAAACAACAAAACCAGGTAGAAAGGGATTGGATTTTAGAAGTCAGTAAGTGGATCAGAAAAAAATCTCACGATTAAGTTCTGATAGCTTTTCAATATTTTTATTATAGAAAAAGTAAGTGAGGTAAACAAAAAGCGAAATAAACATCTGTAGAAATTTTCTGTGCGATTGGACGAAATGTTAGGCGCACGTAAATTATTGGAAGGTGAAAAGCTGTGCGAGAACACAGTAGAATTATGGTTAAGCAAAACATATGTTTGCTTTATTTTTGTTCTTAGATACTTGACAAAAAGTTCTACTCCGTTCAGCATTTGTTCTTCATTTATATGCATTTTACATGGTCAGAAAGTGATATTCTCTTTTCTCCTCGTCTTTCTCATACAATTTTCCCAAAACATATTGTCAGACTCCCTCTTTGCCTTAAAATGCTATGACGCAGCCAGGAACTGATTTATTTATTTACCCTTTTTAGTGTTGATGTCCTCGAATAATTTGGTAACTGGCCAAGACAATATGTATATTGATGATGAGAATATTCTTGAGCGTCAAAGAGAAGTGGGTGAAATACCATTGATGCAAATATCAGCGGAAGAAGCGCACGCGCTAACTTGTCAATCAATAGACAGTAGAGAAATGGTGTCAACTGCTGTCATAAATTTCACAAATGAATCAGGTTTGCTTCAACTTAATTTGAGAAATCTTATGACTTTTATGACCTCTTCTGTTTTTGTATGTGTTCCTGATAATTAATACAATTTTGCAACTTTTACTTTAATCTTCAGTGTTAATTTTAAGTTCAGTGGTCTAAGCTTTGTTCTTGTTTACGCTTGGAATCTGATCTGCTTTAATTTCATTCATTTAACGCATGATTCTATGCTGCTCGGGTGTACAAAGCATAGTTAGAAGATTTTGATTTGTATTACTCTGTTATTTCACAAATGATTGTGCCTGCTTGTAGGTCATCAAGCCAATGGAAATGGTAGCGATGCTCGAGTGAGTCAAATGAGTATTGATACTAACAGTAATGCTAAAACATTAAATCCACAACAAACTGGTAAGAAAATGTTTGTTTTATTTAATAGTGGGCTGGAAAGTTTTTTTGATATAAAAATATTATAGTTTTGAACATTAGATTATATGTTTATTTATTTTTTTTTATTTATTTATATTTGATTATATATTTATATCTCTCTTACATAGCTATATCCAGTAAACTACAACATGATTTGGAAATTCGGCCAATCACTGTTCAGGTAGTATCTGGTTTGTCAAGAGCATCTACAATAGTATCAAAAAATACTGATACAAGTGATCAAATGGAGTCAAGTAGTGGTGATAATAGAATGAATAATATTCTCCCAGGGCAAGTGGAAGCATTAGAGCCAGTAAAACTTTAGACGAACCTTGGTACTTGTAATACATCGATGTGTAACCCTTGCGAAAGCGACATTTTAAATCCCTTAGCAGGTCACTGACCATACATGAGAAAACGAGAAAAACATAGTTAGGACAGTTTTCTAGACTTCTTCACATTTTGTGATGAAGATTCACCGATACTTAGTCGTACGATTGAAAACCACGAATGCAATAACAGTGTTTCTTTCCTTTACGTATGAGAAAAAACCAACGTTAGAAATAGAAACTCTAATCCATCATAATTCGTTTGACTGAATTCTGTTCTACGCAAGAACAGTTTGAAAAATCATGAAATAGATATCACCCAATACAAAGACGCTCCTTTACATATCGTGCAGCTTTTCGTTTTCAATGAAACGAAATTTGTTGAATCGAGCTCACCTCTCGAACTCCATTTGTTTTCCACCGATTCAGACTACATTCACAGATTCCGACTCCACACCGATTACACTTGGTATCTCACGCTCACAATTACACGTGAGCGCATAGACCGTTTCACCCATTCGATGTTTCTTTCTGCACTCACTCTCACAGCCCCCACCACATACCCTCCAATGTGATTGAAGAGCAAAAGTGTTAAAGTGTTAAAGTGTTTGTGAGAAAAGGTCTATAAGAGTAAAAATGTTAAAGTGTTAAAGTGTTAAAGTGTACAAGAGAAAAGGTCTATACCAGTAAAAGTGTAGAAGAGCAAAAGTGTTAAAGTGTTAAAGTGTTAAAGTGTTTGAGAGAAAAAGTCTATAAGAGTAAAAGTGTTAAAGTGTTAAAGTGTACAAGAGCAAAAGTGTAGAAGAGCAAAAGTGTTAAAGTGTTTGAGAGAAAAAGTCTATAAGAGTAAAAGTGTTAAAGTGTACAAGAGCAAAAGTGTGGAACTGTGCAAGTGTAGAAGAGCAAAAGTGTTAAAGTGTTAAAGGGCATCATCCGGAAATCGCCGTCGCCGCGGATTCTTATATGTTAAAGTGTAAAAGGATAAACGTGCATAACTGAGGGTGAAGTAGTGAGGATGAGGGTGGAGTACTTCTTCACCCACTTCACTCTCACCTCTCCACCCTCACCCTCACTCGCCGCGAGTTCGTATATGTTAAAGTGTTAACACTTTAACACTGAATCCGCGGCGACGGCGATTTCCGGATGTTATGTGTTAAAGTGTTTGAGAGAAAAAGTCTATAAGAGTAAAAGTGTTAAAGTGTTAAAGTGTTAAAGTGTTAAAGTGTTTGAGAGAAAAAGTCTATAAGAGTAAAAGTGTAGAAGAGCAAAAGTGTTAAAGTGTTCCAGTGCTAAAAGAACCTAAAATCCAACCGCGAAAAGAACTCGCGGCGATGGCGATTTCCGGATCTTATGGAAAATTCACCATTGAAAACCTAAAAGCTTGTTATCACCTTTTAAATATCTCTGCTCACGCTGCAGATGCTCAGCGGCTCTTAGGAACCTAATTAATAATATTTTTTCTATATACAACGTTAAACCCTTTTAACACTTTACCTTTGTAGTCTGAATCTTTCTCCACAAAATGAAATATTTCGCAGTTCTGAGAGATTTGTTATAACCAAGTCGGTACGATTTTCTTGAATGCCCCAACATCGATTATTAATCGGTGCTTCGAATAAATAAGAAGCACTGTGCCACAATTTGCGCATGACTGTTTCCATCATTTCGATTTCTTTTAAATATTTTAAGAACAGAATAAGGGTTTGTTCATATACGAAGTCGGATAAATTATATTTCTTAAAATATATATTTTGACTTCGTAAATTTTTTTATTTATAATCAACAGTTAGACGTTTCGATTGCAACGTGCAATCTTCTTCAATAAAACATAAAATAAAATTCCAACATAAAATGAATAAAATAAAATGTATATATACAAAAACCATTCTCTTTCACATTGTAATGTGTACAGTAGATGTTACGAAACATCTAAATAA